AATTATGAAATTAATTACCTAACAATTATGGAGGCAAGCATATGTTCCCAGTTGGTATGTTTATTTTTGCTTAAAAAAAAGCACAAAACTGGTCGTCAGATCTTTTGTGGTGCCCCAACAGTCCAGACTATTAGCAGGGACAGATGAGATGAGAATCATGACAATTAATGTTACAGATAATTGAAAGGAATATTTTACAATTGATTCAAAGTAAATATATGTAGCATATTATGTACAAATAGCACCATTACATGATCCCTACATATGACAATCTTACATGGTAAAATCATGTCAGCAAATTATGTCAATTTCGATCATTATATCTATGACCTAATTATGATCATGTACATTTGTAAGCACTTGTCACCTGTAAGTATGGGAATTTCAATTATGAAATCAAGCGTTACTTAATTATGGCTGTGCTAATTATGTAAGTACAGGTTACTTAATGAGAATTGATTAACTTTTGTAACAGCCCTTCACATTGTTGCCATGGTAACAGCCAAACATCCTAGAAGTGGCAGAAATCAATAATTACACAACTGAGATTTTATAACTTCTGGGTCTGGGCAATTCCTGGATGCCCAAAACTTCTGTCTAAAGCCCTGTTCATTGCTACTTCTCATTACTTTTTATCTTAAAAACTTCACACATGCATGGTTGTTGTTGTTGTTCTACCAGCCAGTAGTCCATGGTACAATGCTTATTGTTTGTCCTATAGCTGCAGCTTATAGCTGGTTGTTGTGCCTATACTTGTTTATAAACCAAGCATTGGGAACAGTACAGAAGCCTCAGCTCCGATGTAAACTGTTAGTTGTTGTGCTTAGTTGTTTATAAAAGACAAGCCTTGACAACAGTATAAAACGCTCAGTTTTGATGTAAGCTGTTACGTACCTAGTTGTCGTGCCGAGTTGTTTATAAAACACAAGCGTTAGGAACAGTACAGAAGCCCAGGTTGTGATATAAGCTGTTTTGTACCTAGTTGTTGTTCTCAATTGTTTATAAAACAAGAATTGAGAGCAGTATAAAAACCTCAGTTCTGATATAACCAGTTGTGACAACATCTCCCAGCCCCAGGCCCAGCCCTGCTGCGCTGCCACAGCTCCAGATAGAAACCTGCGATAACCGACATAATATTCATTTTCATAACCGCAAATTAATTAGACCCCGGTCCCAGCCATATTTCCCAGGGTGCCGTGTGATGGATGGGTACCTCGTACAGTGCTGGTCCCCATCGTCACGGCGATGGTTTCCATGGAGATGGGCGTTCAGGCGTGGTGGGTTGATGGGAGTGAACAGGAGCTGGGGAGGGGGGCGCTCCCCACGGACCGACATGTTGTGGGAAAATCTGTTAGTAATAAACTCCCATCAGAAGGCCGCTGGTGGGGTGTCTGTCATCGCCATGGCGACGGCCAGCGCACCTTGGTGACCTCGCATCGCCATGGCAACCAGCAACACGCACCTTGGTGACCTCGCACCCTCCACTGTTCTGTCAGTGACCTTGATGGCTAAGGTCATAGAACATCTAAGGTCGTTCTCCCTTCTTAACATGATGCCTGCAGGTTGGATCATGTTAATGTTAGTTCTAAGTTACAGAGACAACAGCTTGAGTTGTTAGGGGTTAGAAACACACTCTGAGTTAAGTTACAATGCAGGTTAAGAAATTTTTAGAGAGAAGACTCAATGATGCAAACCTGTCCTGATTCCCCAAGGCTGGCAGTGCCTGATGGACATGCAGAACTCCCAGGGTTCCCTGCTGTCAGCTGACGGATGATTGACAGGCCGTCAGACTTTTGTCCTGCTGTAAAAACAACTCCCTCTCCTGTGTCCACTGTACAGCAGTGGCCGGGTTGCCAGCCCTCGACCTTTTGGTCCGAAGGCAGGGTCACTGACCGCTGCACCATTCGTCCCACATGTGGATGCTGACATCCAGGACACCCCCC